GTGACTAAATGACATAATTTTAAAAGTTAGGTGACTAAATGTGACCAAACCAAAAGTTAAGTGATTAAATGAGCACAAAAGCCAAAAGTTTGATGACATTTTAAAACTTAAAAAGAGTTAAGTGACCAAATGAGCACAAAACCAAAAGTTAAGTGACCAAAAATGACATAAACCCTATAAGAAAAAATCAAATTGACCATATTGTTCCTCTTAAATTAATATCCATCTCCACAAACATGCCTGTGTAACTATGTCTCCGGCAATGTGAACGTCAATCCCCATCTCTGCCATGAGTATCCCACCATCTCCATCTGAGTTTGAGTGCCAATTCCCTGCCACATTTGATTCCTATTCAATTGACATGATATTTGAAGCTATTTGTCATTAAATTTTTATTGGACTAGTCTTATGACTATATTGTAACATACACGTTTTGAAATCGTGTTTTAAGTGAATAATATTATGAAATATTATGTGAATTTGAGCAATTGAGTTCTAACAGATAGTTTTTACTAGAAATGAAGTAAAACTATGTTTAGAATCACTCGGAAAATATTGGAAGTCTTATGAGATTCCAATTAAAAGTTAAAATATCAAAATTTACCGAAAATATAAAATTTGAAATAAGTAAAATTTTATTATTTAAAGTTGTAGATAATTTCGTTAGAAACATTTAGGCGAAAACCTCATCGAAATCTGAGTTATAACGAAGAAGTTATGACCAATCGAAGATCCGCGACAAAACCGACACGACGCCGAATGACGTAAAAAGTGAGTTTTTGATAAACTACTTTTTAGCCTTGGTGATGTAAATGAAAGTTGTAGTATTTGTTAAACCGAGAAATTTGATAAAAAGAACGCCAAAATCTGACTTCATATGAGGAAGTTATGATTTTTCTAAGTTTCAGCTTAACAGTAGACAACTAAAAACTCGAATTTTAGATCGAGTGATTTTTAGCCAACACAACCTAAACGAGAATCTGAGGTCTCGTCAATAGTAGTACAACGGTAAAAAGACAGACGAAAACGGACGTCGGATGAAGAAGTTATGAATTTTTAACGAATTTTCTTGTCCCGGTCTGTTAAAAATAATAATATTAAAAATAAAGTCAAAATTATCTGACGAAGTCTAAACGAAAGTTGTAGATCATAATTTTCCCTACGCGTGCATATAAAGAACGTCAAAAACGGAGCTCGTATGCGAAAGTTATGGATTTAGAAGTTCGGGGCTCAAAAATCGAGAAATCCGTGAAAACCGATAAGAATTGCAAGGCTCAGCTTCGGCCACGTCGCCCTTCTCGCATGCAGACGCGTGTACGAGCCGGAGAACCAAGCGATGCGAGGTCCAATGGCCTTTCGACACGTGCCACCTCCGTGTCAAGTCCGAAACGCGCCTGCTGTTCCGACCCTCGCATCCGAGCCTCGCCCTTCTGCCGCGTGTACCAAGCCTCGCAGCTTCGCAACCACCTGCCCTCTCCCTCTCGCTTCGGATCCGAACCTCGGCCCTATATAAGGGGTGCGAGACCTCCCGGCTAATGTTAGGAAATTGGCACTTTTCACCCCTAAACTTATATTTCCACTATTTCAACTTCCCCCGAAGCCCCGGGATTATTTCCATGCCCGAAACACGCCCCGAAGTTCCCGAGAAGCCCGAAAAATTTATCTTTTCGGTTTGAAGCCCAAACCCTCGCAGGGCCCAGTTTTCAAGAAAACTCCCGGTTTTCAACGAAGAAAGCTAATTATAGTAACGAAGTGCTGCCCAAATTACTATTTTAACCCCCGGTTATTTCACGGTGAGTTTAATATATAGGAACAATTGTATGTTATGTGTTATATGTGCTATGTGCTTTTTAGTATTATTATTCCGGGTTATTTTCCCGTGTTATTTTTATTTATGCTATTTATGATAGCAAAACTATACCTTTGACCATGTGATCAGTGAAAGGACTTAGATTCACGGTGGTATTGGTACGTAGCCTCTGGCCATGTAGAGCGTGTCTCCGTAAGAGAATGACTTCTATTCTATGGCATTGGCAGATGGTTAGACATAGTTATAAGCCTGAAATCTACCGAAATGTTTAAATCAGAAAGTATATGTCTTCTGTGCCATTTGGGCCGAAGCTTTATTGATCGTGTATCTTTGTATCAAATCATTGATTGATATGGAAAGTTTGTCTCATGATTCACATATGCCTTTGTTGTTCCTTGTTCCTCTTTGCTTCTGCCATATTGAAGTATATATATGACATAACGTTATATCGTATCTATTTTTGAACTCACTAAGCATCACCGCTTACCCCTCTCAATGTTTAACAATTGCATACAATAAGCAACCAGTATAGTTTTATACTGATAGAAGATTTTGAATAGTTTGAAACTATTGTATATAGTAATCATGTATGTATAACTTATAGTATCCTAGGAAGTTATGTAACATATAAAAATTTGTAGTAGTCGGTTTGTATCCAGTCTTATGTAAACAAGTTATCAATGTAAAATATTGTTTTTATGAATATGCAAGTAACATGTTTTTGGAGTAACAATTGTCAAGTATGAAAGTTTGGGTCTTTCACAAATATGAAAGTTTAGAAAGGGGTTCTTTCATATATTATCATCAGTTATGATCTTGATGGGGGCTTACATGTTTATCGTTAATTTTGTGTATATTATTGAATCTTACAAGTGATTAATGGATGGGTATTCTTGAAGGTTTTTATTCGACTATGTTAATTAGATGTAAACTTTAATCCAATTATGCAACCATCCTAACATTTAAATAAGACGGCCTAAATGGAGGTGGCAACCGACAAGCACATAACAAGAATAAAATATACAAGAGGTGCAATGGGGTTATACTTTTAACTTCTTTGTTTTACCATTTTGTTTAGATTTACACCAAAAAATCATTTGTATGATTCTTCTTCTTCCTTAGCCTGACAAGTGACAAGTTGAACAGAAGGCCAATGTTTTGGTTTTATCTACATTAAATTAAGGAATATTTTTGTATTTTAAATTACAAAACGCTAAAATATAAATAGCAAAACCTAAAATAAATATAACAATGACAATCTTTAGAAAAGAAGATATAAATTTGGATTTGAGTAAAATATGATATTTGGGAAGCTTATGAAGGATACAAATGATATTTTAAACTTAGATATATAAGAGGGGTATAATAGTCAATTGATAAAAGTAAGAATTTAAAATGATTATAAATTATTTTAAAATGTTAAAAATAAGGATTTGGGTAAATTTGATATTTTCAAGTCTTATAAAGAATAAATATGATATTTAGAAATTAGGTTCGATAAATACGATATTTCGAAGTTTAATAAGGGCATATATGAAATTCTCCATAAATTTAAAACAACGCGAAAAAACTTGAAAATAAAAACTTCAGCAATAGTTTTTTTTTTTTTTTTTTTTTTTTTTTTTTTTTTTTTAATCTTATATTCAGGGACGGTTTTAAGGGGTTCCCGGTGTAGCACTGGCAACCCCTAACTTTTCTGTCCGCAGTGGAAAAATTTTCGATTTTTCAAATTTTTTTACCTATTTTTCATGTATCGACAACACCTATTCATCACGGCAACACCTACGATGTATTCCTGCGTCCGTCCCTGCTTATATTACTTATTTAACACGATAAACTTTAAAAAGACTTCTATTATAGATGTTCTTAAGTCTTGATTTATCCAACTATTCACAAGATTATTGTGATAGAATCACACCAATATTTGATAAAACACACACATATGTGCACGTGTGCATGCACAAACACACACACACACATACACACATAACACATACGCACACCGCACACAAATACTCATGGTTGAACTTACTACCCATAATAAGGATTCTTCCCATGTAATACCAAATGATGGTGCACAAATGGGTGCCCGACCCGACACCTAAATCAAAAGTCAAGCCATGTCAACAATGTCTGTGAAGGCCTAGCATAGAAACCATACATGAAAGACCTCCCGATTAAGGTCCCTAGCTTTGCATGGGATACCCTTTGCCAAAAACCCAGGCTTCTATTGTCTTTTCGTTTTTTCCATGTTTTTAAGTAATTACATAATTTTTATATTGGTTTGTTTATTGTAGCATTGTACTTTTATGGTTTTCATCTGGATGTTTGATAAAAAAAAATTAATACATACAAAGATACAAATAGCCGATCTTTTGAACACTTGCCGCCACCCCCACCCTTCGGTATCCTCCCTCCTCATATTGCAATATAACTGTTTGCTCTAATGTGTTTTCCCAAACATTCTCTACCATTATATAGTATGAGTTTTGTTCGAATTCTTCTGTTTTCAATTGATTTTTGTATATTTGTAGACTTGAAGTTATTGACGAATGTTCATGGATTTCTTGTTTAAACTTCGTTTTCGCTTTGTTCATGTATCTATTTGATGGATAATATGATATACATGCTCAAAACTTACGTTTGCATGTTAATGGATCATTAATAATGGTGTATTTAATCATATTTTTTATGTATCTAATCATATTTAATGATCATTTATATTATTTAAATCCATACACATAAGTATGAAGAGTAAATTACACGAACGGTCCCTATGGTTTAGGGTAATTTGCGTATTTGGTCCCTAACATATTTTTTTAATTCGGAAGGTCCTTACTGTTTGTTTTTGTTACACGCTCTGTCTTACCTAAAAAGATTATTTTTCCCTAGTTTTTTAAATTTATTTAAATAAACACACCCCTAACCCGACCCCCTTCACCTTACCGTACCTAGACCACCATTTTTCCCTATTTAAATAATAGTCTTTTTAGATAAAACATGGACCAAACGCGTAACAGAAACAAATAGTAGGGACGTAGCGCGTAACAAAAACAAATAGTAGGGACCTTCCGAGTTAAAAAAATAAATTAGGGACCAAATACGTAAATTATCCCAAACCATAGGTAACATTCGTGTAATTTACTCAAGTGTCAAGTCGATTAAAGGCAACACGCTAAATCACGCTAAATTATGGATTTGCATTTGTTTCATATTTATCCACATATTTGTTACATGTTTTTAAATAATTACTATATTTTACCCCGACTCGGACCGATGCCTGGGTAGGCCCAGAAAAAGCCAGGGAATAGCCCGGTAATACCTCCAGACCTTTGGCCCAATGAATTTGGCCTGGGTTGCCGGTTAACCAGTCAAAGCCCGATAAGGTCCACCACAAGCCTTGGCCCATTGTCAGCCCTATTACCAATTATCAATGAAGCAAAATGTTAATTCCAAAGTCCTTCTATTTTAGGTTATTTTAGTGAATAGCCTTTTCATAAATATGATAAAACCAACGTGTATAATAAAATATATACAGCCACAAGAACAGGAAACAGAGTAAAAGCTTCTCTGTTTTTCTGTAAAACCATTCATGTAGTAAGCCTAGCAATCATCTCCTCCACCATTCCAACCTCCGTTCCACCTCTGTAAATCTCGCCCATAACCTCCTCCACCACAATATTCTTCAACCTCTCACCACCACCACTCTCACAGTCCCTCAGAAGCCTAAGCAGCGATTTAGCACTCCCTTTAGCTCTCCTTGTCCCATCAAGACTAACCTGAAGCAAACCCGGAATCGCTCCTTCACATAAAATCATTCCTCTGTATCTCTCCCTACTACTCTCACATATCATCAACAAAATCCCAACTGCGTACTCCTTACACTGCTTCGAACCTTCTTCTACACTCTCCACAACTGCCCTAATCCCGATTTCTGTCGATGAAATCGCTCTCAACGCGATCTCTGATGAAGAAGATAAGTGTTCGAGTAGACACATTGATTTCTCGACTAATTTGGATGATTTTTCGGATTCGTGGATGAGGTGGATTAAAGAAGATGATGTAGATGATGAAAGAAAGGCGGGGATATATGGTGATAGGTTATGGAGAGTGACTATGATGTCGAGTTTTACTTGGGTGGTGCTGTTTTGAAGGAGGGTTTGATTTAGGGTTTCGATAGCACCTGATGTCGCCATTGAGGGTTTGTTTGATGAGCAAGATGATAAGATTAAAAGTGCTGCTATGGCGTGGTCGATTAATGGATGGATTTGTGATCGTATGAGGTTTAAAAAGAGAGGAATAGCTCCTGATTTCGCAATCCGGATCTTGTTTCTGTAAAACATAACACAGAAAGTGTTAATTCCAATCGATTACGAATCACTTTTTGAGACTGAAAAGCTCAATAAATTCGATTCAATGGAACTCCATAAATTCGATTGCTTATTTATATGTTTCAAGCAAAGTTTTATACTCATTTCTCCATTAGATTTCGATTCAGTCCACCTGGAACTCGAATCTAATCAAAAGTGATGCCAGTTAGTGTGTTCGAACGAAACGAACCTTTCGCTGCCATAGGCGAGACTGAGGAGAGCAAAGAGTGCAGATTCTAGGGATTTGAAATCTGGAGGATTATGAAGCATGGAGACGAGAGGAGGAATGGCTCCATTATCAGCCAATTTGTGTCTCTGTTTGTTTGTGAGATGAATAACTGCCTCTGTGGCGGCGGCCTTGGCTCCATCATCGCCGAACAAAAGCGCTTCCACCACAGCTACTTCCGCCATGAAATCTGATCGGAAACAAACCTACACAGATTAAGCAGATTATAGGGGAAGGATATATGATTTGCGTGAGTTGATAGTTGATATAAGCAAGTAGGATGGATGCTTTATTCAGAGTAATATTGGAAGAGAAGCAAAGGCTACTAATACTATTCCTTGTGGACCAATTTAGGCAGCTTTTCCGGTGACTGTTCGGAGTTGGGGATTGGTATCTCTCCATCACTTTCCTTAAATAGAAAACCTGCCCCAAGATTTTATGTAATAACTGACACAATTACTATATTAATTATTTATAATTTTTAATAATCATATTTTAATATAAACTTATTAGATTTTTGGATACTTATTGAGTTATTGTGTTGAGTGACTTGACACCTCAGGTGCCATAATGTTCATGTTTATGCAAAAAAGCTCTTTTTGTCATAAAGTATTCAAACTAAAAACCTTAATATATCTTAACCAATACTAAAACTTTTTCATAATAAAGTTTTTTTTTTATCGGGTAAAGAAAATATCTCAACTATAATAAAACATCACATTCGTTCAATAATATAAATATATCTCAATTATAGTAATTTCATTTTCAGAAAACTTATTTATGATCCTATCAAAATGACCCAAGTCTTCACCTTTAACCAAATTGACCACAAAATAGAAAAAAAACATTTCTGAAATACAATAAACAAGTAATAGGTGCAAATGAAAACGAATTACACAACATATGTATATCCGAAATCCAAAATTGACCAGTTTTGGACATGTAATTATTTTGGAAAAGACTCAAAAGTTGTCATTTATCTATATTTCCAAAAATCATATGGTTATTTTTGTGATTATCCCATATTGCCCTACGGAAACCACGGAGAGTGAAATTGTATAATGAAGGTATCGGGTTCAAAATTTGAACATTATGAAGTTTATCTTTTTTAGAATGAAGTAATAAAAATATCCCGCTCTTACTATGTTTGTCATTTTATTCTTTCATACAAACTCAACAACCTTCATTTTCCTAGCATGTTGTCTTTTTCTGTTGGTAAATAAATATATATTCTTGTACTAGCTCCAATCTATTATCAATTTAATACTCATAGTACGTATACTTAGGTAGTGTTTTGTTGGTATTCATTAAATGGAACGAAACATTACTTACCAAATGTGATTTCTTCTTCTGATCTGATTTTCATTCTACAAAGAAGTGTTAACTAATTGATTAGTTAGAATTAGTTTTACAGTAGTTTTACAGTCGGTTAGAAGAAGGGCATTTATGTAATTTCAATTATTTGTTCAGTTAGTTTGATAGATTGTACCTATTAGAACTTATACACTGTATTGATTCAGTTTTTTTAGTAATGAGAAATGAAGAATATTGAAGGATTTCTTTCTCAAATTCCTTTCTTCAATCTCAGTTCTAACATGGTATCAGAGCGGTGATCCAACCTTCCGCATCCACTCTGTTATTCTTCAATTTCATTGATTCAGTTTGTTTTTCTTTCTTCATCATCGATTTACTCCAATTCAATTTCAAAAGCAATGTCTCAATCTGTTAATTCCTCATCTCAATCTCATGTTATTGATATTTCGAATCCATTCTATCTTGGATCTTCAGATAATCCAAGTAATGCTCTTGTTTCTAATGTTTTCACTGGTGTTGGATTTTCTGCCTGGAAACGTTCCATGACGATTGCCTTATCTGCCAAAAACAAAATTACATTTGTTGATGGCACTACATTGTAGCCTCCTGATAATTCTCCGTTATTCGCAAATTGGTCCAGAGTAAACTCTATGGTTATCAATTGGATACTCAATTCATTACATCGTAACATTGCTGATAGTCTTATCTTTCTCCCAACTGCTTACGACATCTGGAAAGAACTTAATCACCGATATGAACAAGCAGATGGCGCTCAAATCTATCAAATTCAACAACAACTTTACTCTTTATCTCAAGGATCTGACGAATTTTCAACTTACTTCACCAAATTGAGTAAAATTTGGGATGAACTTCGTCTTGTTCAAAACATTCCTGCATGTACATGCGTTGCTGCTACAGGTATTGCTAAATACCTTGATGAACAACGATTGATTCTGTAACACCCATAAATTCAATCCGATTTAAAACTTTTTAAAAACATTTCAACCATTAAAATCATTACAACTTTGTTTTCAAAATGTATAATATCAGAGTTTTTCCCAGAAACATAAACAAAACATGAGGAGCTGTACGATCACGCCTTCGCCTTGCCGCGATCCCCTGATGTACCTGAAACAATAAACTGAAACTGTAAGCCCGAGAGCATAGTGAGTTCCCCCAAAATACCCATACCCGCAACAATAAACATATAATCATAAACAACATACTATAGGTCCAGTCAACCATCGGGTTGGAATACCCCAGGCCCTCAAGCATCCGGTTGGAATGCCAACATACTATGGGTCCAATCATCCTCGGGATGGAATACCCCAGGCCCACAACCAACAGGTTGGAATGCCCACACACTATGAGTCCAATCATCCTCGGTATGGGATACTCACGGCCCACAACCTACAGGTTGGAATGCCCAGGTCTATTGGCCTCCGCACAAAGCAGATGAACCTCAACCGCTAAACAAACATGTGCACATATAACAGATAATCACATAACAGTCTATATACAATACTTGATCTAACGGATCATACCATATAGCACATAACACCATCCTATCTACCAGGATGCCGATCTAACAGATCATACCACATATCATATAATATTATCCTACCCTCTAGGATACCGATCTAACAGATCATACCACATACCATATAATATTATCCTACCCTCTAGGATACCGTACTAACAGATCATACTAGCATTACATAACCAGATAACAATCCAAAGGGCCGACCTTGGTGCCTTAGACCCTTGAGTATAGTGAGGAAAACTCACCTCGCAACTGTCGTCTGAAACTAGAAAGCTCAGCTCCCGTATCACCACCACAAACTCCACCACCTATATCCGACACATCACAAAGTCCATAAATTCCCAAGATACTCCCAGAATTCCAATAGCCAACCCTTGTCCGAGGTCCAAGTCAACTTTCAAGGTCAACAATCCATGTTGACCTCAACTCGTCGAGTACCCTTGGCTACTTTCCGAGTTCCTAGCATGACTTGCCAACTCGTCGTATCACTAGAGTGACTCGTCGAGTTCCTAGTGTCAGTGGCCGTAACTCCTTGGCTAACTCGCCGAGCTTTCCCTTTACAACTCGCCGTGCTCACACGTGTCCAAAGGTTGGGAAAACCCCAACCGACTCGCCGAGTCACTCTATTGACTCGTCGGGTCTACGACCATCTTCAACGGACTCGCCGAGTTGTTCATCCAACTTGTCGAGTACATGGCCATCTTCATATGGATCTCCGAGTTGACTATGCAACTCGCCGAGTCCCTTCAGACCTTCATCCATACAGGCACTTTTTAAGCCATGCAGCGGCTCCATATTGCAGATCCAAGCTTCTAAGGCATGTTTATCACGTAAAGTTGCAAACTTTACGTGCATGCATGGCTCTAAAGGCTCTTAATGACAAATCCAAGCTTACAATGGAGTTTTACACTCAAGGAAGGCTTCATACATGACCAAGCTCGAAACTTTATGAACCTAGAACCCAAGAAGGGTCCAGATCTGAAGTTGCAACTTCAGATCTAGATCATACACCACAACAACATCATAACCAAGTCAAAATAGCCCTAAACTCCACCCAAATGAGATCTAGAAGGAAATGAGGTAAAGGTGACGACTTGATACCTTCAAATGATGCTAACTGAGGTAGATTTCTGATCCACACACTTTCCTTGCTTCTAGCCCTTTGTTTCCCCAAGCTTTCCTCACTATGATTCACCTTCCAAAACTTAGAACACACAAAATGAAGCACACACACGAATTAGGGTTGGTTTGGTTCTCCAAAGACCGCAAGGGGCTAAAGGGAGGCTGTCGATCCTTTAAATAGGGTGCAAAACCCCGAGATTTAGGGTTTCATCTGCCAGCTCCTACTCGTCGAGTCCCTTCTTGGACTCGGCGAGTAGGTCACTAAAACACGCGGACCAACCCGCTGCTACTCGACGAGTAGGGCAACCAACTCGTCGAGTAGACCTTGAAATCAAAGAAATTTTATATAAATCAATACCTGAGAATCGGAGTGTTACAGATTCAATTACTCATGGGATTGAATGATACTTATAAAGTTCTTCGTGGTCAAATCCTAATGATGAAGCCTTTGCCGACTATTTCAACTGTTTATTATATGATTGTTCAAGAAGAACGACAACGAGAAATCACTATCCTTACTAACATCAATCATGAGACAATTGCAATGAATGTTTCACATGATTCTTCTTCTAATTTCTCAAAGAAATCGTTAGTTTGCACTCATTGTAAGAAGACAGGGCATTCCAAATCTCAGTGCTATCGACTTATTGGTTTTCCATCCAATTTCAAGTTCACGAAGACAAAGAAAGATGATCCAAAGTCTATCGTTCAAATTGCAACTTCTAATACTTCTTCTACAATTTCTCAAGAACAGTACAATTAACTTTTGCAGTTACTCTCACAACACAATATGTCATCATCCAATCAAGCAAATTCTTCTATTCTTCAAGAAGCAATGACACCTGATGGTAATGATTTTTCTTATGCTCACTTTGTAGCTAATGTGTCCAAGTCATCTGCATTTCTTACACCACATATTTCATTCATCATAGACACAGGTGCTACTGACCATATGTGTTCTAATTCTGAACTTTTCCTATCTTTAATTCCTTTCACACAGCCACATTCGATTGGGCTTCCTAATGGTCATTCTTTGTTCATTACACACTATGGTGATGTTCAAAGTCATGCATCAATCATTCTCAAAAATGTATTGTATGTTCCATCCTTTAAATATAATCTTGTGTCAATCTCCAAGCTTACATCACAGTTGAAAACATTTATTTTGTTTACTGATGAGACATGTCTCATGCAGGACCCCTCATTGAAGAATAGATTAGCTCTTGGAGTCATTGGAAAAAGGATAAATGATCTTTATGTGGTTGAGTATCGTGTTCTTAAACAAAATCTTTCTTACAGTTTTTCTGTTTTCACTTCTGTATTCAATTCTCCTTTGTCTTCAGTTTCTCATGTAACTCATAATTCTCCTGATTCAAATGTTATGTTGTGGCATAAACGTTTGGGACATGTTTCTATTGATAAACTCAAGCATTTCTTACATTTACCTATGAAGTATGCTAATGATGCTATTACA